TTTGTTATTTTATGCCCATCCTGGGGTTTGAACTCAGGGCCTGGGTGTGGTCCTTGAACATCTTTTGCTGAAGGATAGCTCTCTACCACTTGAACTATAGCTCCACTTGACTTTGAGGGGAGGGTAGTTTATTGAAAATAAGAGGTTTTTGCGGGGGGAGTGCAGTGGTGGAGATGGGAGAGCAGGAATGGTAAGGGAAAAACAGAGGAGGCGGCAACAATGCTTGATAAAAAATATACTCATTTACCTTACTCATGTAATTGTAACCCCTCTGTACCATACATTCACAATAAAAAACTTATTAAAAAATTTAAAAATAGTAGCATTTCTATAAAAAGAACTCCAAATGGATCAAGACCTCAGAGTCAAAGCAGACACTCTGAAAACATTACAGGATGGAATAGGAGAAACCCTAGGTCTCCTGGGCACAAGCCGAAATTTTCTTAATAGAGACCCAGAAACACAACAAATCAAAGAAAGGTTGGACAAATGGGATTGCATGAAATTTCAGAGCTTCTGCATGGCAAAGTACATAGCTCGCAAGATCAATAGAAAGTCCATGGATTGGGAGAAGATCTTCACTAGCCATACAACAGACAAGGGTCTCATATCTAAAATATACCTAGAACTCAAAAAATTGAATCCCCCAAAAACAAATCTTCAAAGAAACAACTGCCCAATAAATAAATGGGCAAAAGACTTAAAGAGAAACTTCTCTGAAGAGGAAAGAAGGATGGCCAATAGACACATGAAGAAATGCTCAACCTCTCTAGCCATAAAAGAAATGCAAATCAAAACAACATTGAGATTCCACCTCACTCCAGTTAGAATGGCTATAATCAAGAACTCTAATAACAACAGATGCTGGAGGGAATGTGAACATTGTTGGTGGGAGTGTAAACTTGTTCAACCACTTTGGAAATCAGTATGGAGGTTCTTCAAAAGTCTCCATATAGAGCTCCCCTATGACCCAGTAATCCCACTTTTGGGCATTTACCCAAATGTTTACAAACAAGACCATACTGAAGCTATCAGCACAACTATGTTTACTGCACCATTATTTACCATAGCTAAGATATGGAACCAACCCAGATGCCCCTCAGTAGATGACTGGTTCAAGAAAATGTGGTATATCTACACAATGGAATTCTATGCCTCCATCAGAAAGAATGACATTGCCCCATTTGTTAGGAAATGGACAGACTTGGAAAAAATTGTATTAAGTGAAGTAAGCCAGGCCCAAAGAAACATAGGTCCCATGGTTTCCCTTATTTACAATAACTAGTGTATGTCTGAGTCAACCAGAACAGGTCAGATAAGTTGATGTTAGGGGAATGAACCCAAAGATAAGTATTCAAATTTTTTTTTCTTTCATGCAATTGTTTCTAACATATTTACAAGATCATTTCTATGTTGCTTTGTATCTCCCTCCCTCCACGATATAACCCATGCTTCACTGTATTTGATGTATAATTTGTGGAGGGGAAGGGAAAAAACAAATCGTTTAACTAGGGATACAGGTGGACCCATTGCAACAATGAGATATACAAGTCATTATGTCGAAAAACGAACTTTACAACTTTGGTGGTAGGGGGAAGGATCGCATTGTGGGGGGAGCATGGGAAGGGGAAACAAAGAGGAGGCAACAATGCTTTATAAGAAATGTACTCATTATCTTGCCCATGTAATTGTAACTCCTCTGTACAATATTCTCACAATAATTAATAAATAAATAAATAAATAAAAGTTTTTAAAAAGCCTTTAGGGAAGAAAGTTTTTTAAAAATTTTTATGGACATTCCTGCCTAGGCTGGTTTGGAACAATGATCCTCTGCTCTCTGTCTCCTAAATTGCTGGGATTACAGGCATGAGCCATCAATGCCTGTTGGAAAATTATAGGTTTATATGTATGTGCTAGAGAAAAAAAAAAGAAAGAAAGAAATACATCAAATCAATAAAAAATTTTTATTTTAAGAAGTAAAAAAAAAAAAAACCATTTCTACCCAACATAGGCAAAGTCCTGTCCTGTACCTGATCTGCTCTGCACACTTCCATGTTCCCAATTTCTTGAGTTGCTAAAAGATGGCTAAGAACAGATCCCTACAGAGATGCAGTTAAAGCAAGTGCAGCAAGAAGTAGGAAATGCAGATGGTCTACTGATGGATGTCTACCCACAGACTGGCTTAATTTTGCTTCTTCAGAAATTATTCTAGCACATTATTGTCCACACGTTCTACAGATAGCAGAGTTCTTGTCTAGCAAGTGCAAGGCACTGAGTTCAGCCTTTAGATTCCAGGCATCAAGGAACAGGAAACATGCCTTACATTCCCTTAACATTTGAATTACAGTATCTTTGGGAAAGTTACTAATGAATCTTCCTGGGCCTTTAGTTTTCTCTGGCTCTAAATTTCCAAATACTTTGAGGATTTTTTAGGGACATCCATACTCTTCTCTGAGTACTTCCCCCTAAATCAAGTCCCTGAATAGGGTTTACATTATCATTTGATATTTACTTTCTGTGAATGTGTTCTTCACTCATCTCCACCATGCCAGACAACAACTTTAGGAACAAAGGGCCACTCTTCCCTCTTTGTATTTAATATATATTGATTTTTCCATTCCAACCTAGTGAATTTATTGTGTAGATGCCAAGTATGTTCTAGCCATCCATTGAAGAAAGAGATAAAACTGGATTCTTGAGCTCAAAGAACTCAGTATAATAGACCAACCAACGAAATGTAATTATAAGATGTTGTGATAAATGCAATAATAAAGAATAGAGTGATCAATTATGCTTAGTAGGCTTACAGAAAGTATTTTCAAAGGAAACTGATTTTGAAAGGTGTTTCCCCAGATATAACTAAAAAATGAAATGATCCCTTTATTACACTATATCTCATGTATACATGATAAAGCTGAGGATTTTTGGTTTATTGTACTAAGGCTAGCCTTGATTTAGTCCCCCTGAGAGGACATCCTTGGGACTAGATACTTCTTTCTCTTCTTTACTGTGAAAAATTTATTATGAAATCATCTATACTTCCTTTTTTCTTATATTTAAAGAATTAGCAACTGTATATACTCGATACACCATACTTTTGCTATATGCATGCAAAATGTACATTATTATAATTAAATTTACAGGTCTATCACCATTCATAATTACTGTCATAGGATAGGTAAGAACACAGTGTATCAAATTTCAAAGAGAAAAAACAGTGATTACAGCCATCATGCTGCACATTAAAATTCCACAATATATTGATCTTACAAATGAAAGTCTATTTTCTTCTATACCCAAGTATTTCCTGAATCCCCTTTACCCATCTCCTGGAAATCACTGTTGTACTCTTTACTTCTATTATTTCAATATTTTAAGATTAAACAGGTGAGATCATACAGTGTTGGCCTTTTGTTGTCTGGATTATTTTACTAAGAATAAGGTCCTCCAGATTTATCTATATTGTTTCAAATAGCAGTTTCCTTCTTTTCTATGGTAATGCAATATTCCCATACATATATATGTATATATACATATATATACTCCATTTTCTTTTTGGATTCTTAAATGAGCTCTTATGAATAAATATTCCTTTATTTCTCTTCACCTGAACTAATGCCACTCAAGCCACTGTCTACCAGCTGGGTCATTTCAGTTTTCTCTTATATCTACTGTTGATCTTTTCCAATATATTCTTAAAATGTAGTTAAAATGGAGATTTAATAATAGTCATGGCCCTTCCTTTTATACAAAAAAAAATCATTAGATGATCTAGTGCAGTGTCAGAGAATGACCAATATGAAGACAGTCAATATAAGGGGCAAAAAGTAAATTGCTCTGCACAACTTAAGGTGAGGCAAGAAGGTATGAGAGGGCAGCTTGGCACAGACTGGAGTCTGAATGGAAAGAACAGTTCAGCATACGGTGTGGGAAACTAAAAGCAACTGCATAGGGGATAGGCCAGCTTCAGCAATGAGAAACTGGTAACATGAGAAGAAAATTGGTAACATGAAGATATGAAGGATAATAGGATTTTTTTCATCAGGGAAAAGAGCTAAATACGTGGAAAGGAAGAAAACAAGGCAATAAATGTTGGTGTCTGTTGCACTGCACTGCAATTCGAAATATTGGTATAAACTCGGTCTTATATATGTATATATGGGCATGAGTTTAGGCTATGTACGTTATGTATGCTATATGAACATGTTCCCACCTTTGTCTACAGAGAAGCAAGCAACAGCCTCCCAACAGCATGGATCACACTCAGTGCATTTTGCCACCAAAATAGCATTCTTAAAAAGAAGCTGTGACAATCCCAGTACTCCGGGAATGGGGGCTGGAAGATGGTAAATCTGAGGTCAGCCTGGGACACACAGGGAGAACGGGGGGGGGGGGAGAGAAGAGGAGAAGGAGAAAGAGGGGAAGAGAGGGAAAGAGGAGTACGGGGAGAAGAACGGCCGGGGCACGGGGGAGAGGAGGAGGAAGGAGGAAGAAAAGGGTTTTTTTTTTCTTCTGATACCGGGACTGAAGCAGGAGAAGTCCTTGAGGCACTTGGCATTGTGCAGAGTAAGTCTAAAATTGTCACACTAAGTCTGGAAGAAGAGGGTTCTCAAAAGAACCCCAGAGCTCGCTTTCCACGCGTCCGGACCACCAGAGGGTCTCAGCGTCCCGAAGGCTTCGAAGCGAGGCCCCCTGGGCGTCCAGCCAGGATTTCCCCGTCACCCAGGCAACGGGGCCAGGAAGGGGCGGGGCTTCTCCCTCCAGGCTTCCGCCCTCCCGCGGAGCCGGCTACTTTTATGGCCGGAACCGCACGGGCTGCGGTGGTGCCTTCCTCACCTACAGGTTGGAGCCGGACCTGGAGCCGGATCTAGATCCGGAGCTTGCACACAAAGCCACGTCCTCCTAACCACGCCAGGGACCCCACCCCGCTACAGCGGGGCGCGCGTCCCAGGCCGCAGCCTCCACGCCTTTCCCACAATGCCCCGCGCCAGGCCCCGCCCCGCCCGGCTCTTCGGGGAGACCGGCGCGAGCGGTACCGGAGCCGGCCGCGGTCCTCACTGCCGGGTACGGCCGTCCTCCCCGACCCGAGCTCGGCCGCCCGGCGGCTGCAGACAGCGGCTGACGGCCTTCCTTCCGCGCACACAGGCTGGGCTTGGCAGGGCAGGGTCCGCCGCCGGGGACTGAGGATGGGGAAGTAGCTGCAGGACCCCGCACTGAGGTGGGCTCGGGCGGGGGCTGGGGCGGCCTGGGCCCTCCGGGCGGGGCGGGAACCCCGGGCCACACCGGGCCTGGGCCCCCTCGGCCGGGCTGCGCTCCGAGCCGAGCCCCCCTTCCCTCCTCACTCACCTTCGGTCCTGGGACCCCGCCTTGGACGCGGCATCCTCCCACTTCCTCCACACCCTCCCCTCCCCAAGACACAGCTCTGCCCACCGGGCTCGGCTGCTTGAGCCTGAGTTTTTCAGGCTCTCGTCTCCATCCGTCCAAGCTGGCACTTGGGACTCACACTTAACCGTCCCATGTCCCCCCTCCCCCGCCCCCCAGCCTGAGAACCACCCTTAAGGGAGGAGCACTTTATCTCGAGGTGGTGATTGAGATTTGTTCCTTTTTCTTTCCATCCATTCTTCCTTCTCTCCTTCCCCTGCTCCCTCTTTCTCTCCACCCCCCTCCTCACCTCTCTCCTCCTGCCTCTCTCCTCTCTCTTCTCTCTCTTCCCACTCCCTTTGCCCCCTCCCTCTCTCGGTGGTTCTCAACCTCAACGTGGATATTCTTCATCAGGGTATTTTAAAGGTCTATTTCTGTGGGATGAGGACCATTCACAGGTAAAGAGAAAATACTAATTACAAATTATTTGGGTTTATGAAACAAAACCGAAGATGTTAGGAAAGTTAACTTTTCTTCCAAATATTATAGAACCATTAGAGAATTAAAATATACCATCTGTGAAATGGCTACCCTTCAGAGATGAGCATGTCTGTTTCCCTTGTCCTTTTCTGCTGTCATATTTTTATTTATACCAAACGTACACTTTAGCCGCAAACTTACACTAATTTGCGATTGTTCTTTTTTGATTTATAAAGTAATCTACTAAAATTCAATGCAAATACCTTAGAAATCTTGGTGTGGTTGCCTAACAATCCATGTAAGCCATCTATTGTATCATGTAATTGCAGACAATTTAAAGGTGACAGGAAAAGTACAAACTCCTTGAAAGAACATGTTTCCTGCAGATGCTATCTAATCTTTAAAAAAGCGAACAACAATATGTGGTAAAGAAGTTTCTAAAAAGCAAGAAAAAATATCATTTACTTGTGTTCTGATAAGTTATGTATGTTTGTTTGCAAGCTGGCTACCACTTCCACACTACCTTTTCTTGAGTGATTTCACAAATCTGACTTTGTTATAGCTGTTCAACTTGCAATGTATTTTAACTGCCTGGTTTGCTCTCTATTTAGATAAACATTTCTGGAAATCATTTTGGGATGCTTGATTCGCCCTTGAAGTTATGCGGACAGAAGTGCTCAATTTTTCAAATTATATCAGCTGGACCCAACAGTGTATATTAAAGTTCACTTAAATTGGAACTTGTAAAAGAAAAGAGAATGGGAGTCTGGTTAAATAAAGATGACTACACCAGAAACTTAAAAGGGATCAGTTTCTGCCTTCTAATAGTGTATATGGCTGTTTTAGTAGGTACTAATCAGGATTTTTACAGTTTACTTGGAGTATCCAAAACTGCAAGCAGTAGAGAAATAAGACAAGCTTTTAAGAAATTAGCATTGAAGTTACATCCTGATAAAAACCCGGTGGGTGAAATTTTGTTTGTGAAACATCCAATGACTGTCTTTTAGTATGTTTTAATGTGTATTTTAAATTATTTTTATGTATGTTCAAAATGCTTAAGAACAGTTACTTGTAAAATTATAATTCAGGGACCAGAGAAGTATATCAATGGTAGAAATCTTGCCTAGAATATTCAAGGACCTGGCTTCCATCTCTAACACAACAACAACAACAACAAAAATACTTTAAATTCAATTTGTATGCTAAAACTAGATTCAGCAGAATGATCTAGTCTGTAATAGTGCATAAATTTGGTCAGAACCTCTTAACTTATAAACTAATTTCCAGCAGACTTGTTAAAGATTAATCCTCATGTCATATTGTCTATTAAGTAAATGAAGCATTATTCATAGTAAAGAAGGTTAAGATCAGTGTTTTAAAGCATTGTCAGAAAATAGTTTGCTTTAGAGCTCATAAGGTGTATTTTAGTAGCATGCTTTAAGTTTTACTATTTTTCTATGCACATGTCACAGACCAGTTAGCAAATTTTACAAATCAAAACATGAGAATAGTTAAAAAATTAAAAGCAAATGATAACAATTACTTAATAGAATTGAGAGCAGCTGAGTATACCTTCAGTTATAAATAATTCATTTGTATCTAATTGTAATCTTTAAAATTTAAATTAATTTTATAATTTATTAAAATGACATTTAAACTCTAGTCATTAGTGAGGACAAGGACATGTGATTTTATTTCTAGTCAGGATTTCTAGGTTTGATAATGTCTTAGTTGATTATCTTTCCCAGAGATCTATTTTTTTAATGTGTTCAAAGTTTTGTTTTAAAATTTGAGAACACAACTTACAACTTTCCATATAAAAGCTGGGAGACCATCTTAATTTAAATGAAAGCATCCTTCAGAAAATTTCTGCAAAACAAAAGAAAAAATATTTCCAGTTCAGTTTTAAACAGCTTCCTTAGTATTATTCCTTATCTGATCAATTGGAGCACATATTTTATTTGTAAGGTTTTTTGTTCCAGCACTCTTAGCATTTTTGTTCAAGGCTTGTGCTCTGCCATTTTAGCCACACCTCCACTTCTGTTTTGGTGGCTAGGAGAGAAGTATTTTTGCTGGTTAGTTGGAGGTAAGAGTTTCATGGGCTTTTCTGCCTGGACTAACTTCAAACCATATTCACAGATCTTAGCCTTCTAAGTAGCTGGGAATATCAGTACTATTCTTTTTAAATTAAGGGTTTAGAGGTGTTGATTATGCAGTTTTCTCAGCTACATTTCTTAAAGCAGATTTTATTAGTCCATATATATACATGATTAACATTTTTGGCCTATTTTATGTAATAATGAGAAAGTATATTATTTGAATAGTTTTTATTTCCATTACTTCCTCTTTTTGAAGATGACAGCTCCTTAGATAATACTTCCTTATCCCATCCTGTGATAACTCACATTGTCCCACCCTTTTATGTTGGTGTCTAGTTTCTTAGAAATCTCTGGGTTAATTATATCTATTCTAGAGAAAAACAGATGGTATATCTGAAATAAAATCTACTATGTCTGATATTTTTAACAGAATAACCCAAATGCACATGGTGATTTTTTAAAAATAAATAGAGCATATGAAGTACTTAAAGATGAAGATCTACGGAAAAAGTATGACAAATATGGAGAGAAAGGACTCGAAGATAATCAGGGAGGCCAGTATGAAAGCTGGAACTATTATCGTTATGATTTTGGTAAGTTGTGATGATACTACTTAAGAGATTCGATTTTTTTAAATCTGAATTGAAAGTTCATTTTATCTCACTACTCATTTTTGGTATTTTATTTGTCAGTTTGATTAGCTCCTTTTAATTCATTCTAATGGGATTCAAAAGGAAAGTCAGCATATAGAAATTATCTATACAGATAGGAAAATACATTCATCACATAGTAGCTAAGGCTTATAAGGATTCCTGTGTATTTAATAAGGAATATGTATGTTTTCATTAGAAAATATTAAACATTAAAACCTTTATAAATTTTTAAGCCACATAGTTTATGACAAAGACTAAACAACAGTGGTTTCTTCAGTAGAAATGCCTCCCTTGTCATGTAGAGCCTTACTGATGATTTAAGGTGTTGAGAGGAATAGAAAAGAAGGCCAAGAGCAAAAAAAGTAAGTTACTGGAACCAAGGGAGAGGAAAAGTAAATAAAGGTATCAAAGCAGCAGGGTGTGTTCAGGTAACCAAAGTTTCTGATTATCATTACTTGACCTCAAATGCAGTCCATGAATGAAAGAATGCTTTTATATGAATCTAACTCTTTTCACTTACTTCTGAAGAGTTTGCTTCTTGAAACTGATTTTCTTTGCAAAATAGTGATTTCAAATACATTCCCACATGTTACTAGCCTGTATCAGGTATCGGCAAACAATTTCAGTGGCTAAATCTGACTTACCACTTATTTTTCTCATTTGTTATATATTACTGATGACTTATTGAAGGCAAAATTGAGCATTTATGACAAAAATACACTTTGTACAAATTCCAAGGTATTTTTTGTGGCTTCTACAGAAAATATTGGCTGTCCCTTGGTTTGTATTCATTATAAATATTATTTGGATATTTCTTTATTATTGAGAAATTTTCTTACACTGATTTTAAATTATGGTAGATACTTTTTTTTTTTTTTGTCAGTCATGGGTCTTGAACTCAGGGTGTAGGTGCTGTCCCTGAGCCTCTCTATGCTCAAGGCTAGATCTGTGCCAAAGCACCACTTCCAGTTTTTGAGTTGTTAATTAGAGATAAGAGTCTCATGGGGACTTTTCTGCCCTGGGCTGGCTTCGAACTGTGATCCCTCAGATCTCAGCCTTCTGAGTAGCTAATATTACAGGCATGAGCCACCAGCGCCCAGCTAAAATTTGTATTTATGACTAAATGTTTGTCTCTGCCTCTGCAAATTTTGTAGGTTTAAGGTGTTTTAGCAAAAGAAAAAATGTTAAAATGCTAATACTAATTAAGCCCCCTATAATCTGAAAATTAAATCAGTTCCATAGTCTAATTAACAGTAATGTACTACTCAGTTTCCAAGTGTTGGTACTTTACCATGTCATCATCAGAAGTTAAGTGAAGAGTTACAAAAGGGCTATTATTTTTTAAATTTTTTTTCTCTTTATAACTTTTTAAATAAAAATGAAAAATTATTTTAAAACAAAACATATTTTCTGTAATCATTAGAAACCTACCCCTCCCACGCAGACTTCTATTATAGGTCATGTCAAGAAACTAATGTCTTTGAATTGTTCTTTAAATATGTCACGAATGGTTTTATTTACTTTATATTTTACTTTTAATTTGTTGTATATTGGAAATGAGATGTAGTATAATCTGATTATAATCATTATGTGGTCATTTGTTTTTGTGTGGGAATTTATTCTTATATACTTTTTAAATTAGGTATTTATGATGATGATCCTGAAATCATAACACTGGAAAGAAGAGAATTTGGTAAGTTTGTGGGTATATGATTTTCTAAAACAAATAGAGGTCTTCCTTTACCTAAAAAAAGCTCTTAGGTCTGTAGGTATTCACATGTTAGAAGTTATTTAGATTTTTGAAAGTTAATGCAGTATAGAACTGTATTTTAAGCAGTGTTTCTAGAAAAAATGTGGAATGGCTAAGCATTATAATAAAAACACTAGTATTTCTGCAGCAAAATGCATAGGTATATATACCAAATGAATAAAAACAGATCTGAGGTATGATTCAAGTCAAAGTTCCAGTCCTAGGCAAAAAAAAAAAAAGCAAAGGTACTGGGCTCTGAGTTCAAGTTCCAGTGTAGGCAAACACACACATAAATATATAGCTTCATAAAATTCAGATCAAGTTTTGGTGTCAAATCAACTTGCTGCAAAATTGCAAAAGGACTTCTAGTTTCAGAACTTCTTTATTCTAATGCTTTTGACAAATATATAATTTTAATTATATATAATTTTTGAGAAATGCATGTAAGAATACAGTTCTGGGGCTGGGAAGGTGGCTCAGTGGTAGAGTGCTTACCTTGCATGCTCGAGGCCCTGGGTTCGATTCCTCAGTACCACATCAGCAAAAAGAAAAAAGCCGGAAGTGGCGCTGTGGCTCAAGTGGTAGAGCACTAGCCTTGAGCTGAAGAGCTGAGGGACAGCGCCCAGGCCCAGAGTTCAGGCCCCACAACCGGACCCAAAAAAAAAAGAATACAGTTCTGCCAGGAGCTGTTAGCTCATGTCTAAAAATGGTAGTTTGAAGCCAGCCAAGGCAGGAAAGCATGTAAGACTCTTACCTCCAATTAATTAAAAAAGCCAAAGGCAGTGGTATGGCACCTGAGGTAGAGGGCTAGCCCTTAGAAACAAAAGCTCAGGGACAGCAACCAGGCTCGGAATTCAAAGCCCTAGTACTAGCACCAAAATTTTTTTAAAAGAATTCAGTTCAGTTCTACTGTATTATCTCTCTCTTTCTCTCTTACATTTTAGAAAATTTTAATATTGGTTAAAGCCTTCCATTATAAAAATTTAATACTTTTTTACTTCAAAGCAGTAGATTTGTACCTTACATAAGATTCAAATATTATTTTGCTGTATTATAATCACATTTATTTAACAAACTAAAGTAACATTAAAGTTGCAAAACATATGTAATATTTTTTGTTTTCATCATAAAACATGTATTACAATCACTTGACTGTATAGTTTATTTCTTCTAAACAGAAGTTGCCTTTTCTAATTATTTTCATTTGTGAGCTTGTTCATAAAGAGTACTTATTCCATATATTATTGCTAATAATAAATTATGAATGAATAGAAAATATACACTCATTCTCTACAAAGGAAATGATAACATTTGATTCATTGGGATTATGGGCATATAAAACCAGTTCCAAGGTTGTGCCTTGGACTTTTAAGAAGACTGGTCACATATAAATTCATTTTTATTTGCAGAATCCTTCCTTAGATGTTTATGTCCTTTTAGTGCAATAAGTCACTCAAAATCTCTACTCAGCTATTTGCTTGTCAGCTATCACTCCTCAAAAGTGCAAACATTGGCTCTTTAACTTCTACCTTTTCCCCCAAAATGCTTTACTGGTAACTTCTATGGTGTTTTTTCAACAAAGATTCATATTGTCTGCTTTTCCAGTTGTTGATAGTGAGAGAAATAATCCAAACTGCATAATTCAGTTTTATAAGTAAAGGAACCTCAGAATATTCAACTTTAGTGCAAAAGAAAAATGTAGTTAATATACTTCACTTTCAAAGCTTTAAAAATGTTCTGATCCTTTGCATCAGACATGAGCATATTATCTTTTTATGTTAATATAGTATTGTGTCAGGCATTATAATCAAGTTCTATATACTATTTGCAAAAGCAGAGAACATCTCACATGTATACTCATTATTCTGAACAATACCACATAAGACAAACTTTTTTTGAAGAGAAGTCTTTCTAAAAACAGGAATTCAGAGCACTTCTGCTTTTTCTCACCATTTTTTTTGCTAGAAGAAATTATTTGTATAGAATTAATAGACAGTTATAATTGTATATAGTAAAGGCAAAAGCACATTTTAAAGTATTCTCATCTATTCTTGGTCACCGAATAATTGTAAAAGCATTGTATTGTGCTATTGTACTATTGTGAAACATCTATAGCCAGGCACAGTGTCCCAAACCTATATTCCTAGCTACTTGAGAGATGGAAATCAAGGGATCATGGTTTGAGGCCAGCCTGGACATAAAAGTTCACCAGAGTCCATATCACTCCAAGGGTAGGTGCAGCGCCCCCTAAAGGGACAACGCCCCCAAAAAAACAAAAAAAAAAACACAGGAAAGCATAATAAGAGGATCATAGCCCAGACATTTACCTAGACCCCACCTTAAAAAATAACCAATGTAAAAAAGAAGCTGTACATGAAGCTCAGGTGGTCAAGCTCCTGCTTAGCAAACCTATGGTCCTGAATTCAATCCCCAGCAGACCTCCGCTCTCCCCCCCCCCAACCACCTTTTAGCCCAACATTGTGGCTGTCAGCTCATACACATACACACACACAAACACCTTTTAGCCCAACATTGTGGCTGTCAGCACTTAGGAGGCTGAAGCTAAAGGATTGTGAATTTGAGCCCAATCTGCTTAGCATAACCAAATGCTGTTCCTAAATTAAATAAATAAAATTAAAATACTTGTAACCTTACTCAACAATAAGAACTGAGCAGTTACATTAGAAGAGCTCTGTTAGAAGTGCCAAGATTAGCAGCTTTGTTAGAAATAGCAAGTTTATACATTTTCATAATAATAATCTCATTTTTATTTAAGACTTATGAATAAAAAATACTTTGTATGCTTTTTTATAGGTAAAAATTAATTACTTGTTCATAAGATAACCTCTTTTCTAATGAAATTTTCATTCTTTTAAGATTTTTACCTAAACTATTACCACTTGGTGGTCTAATCTAAATGGCCCTTATTTTGTACATTGAGTAGTCTATTTGTCAGACTTCAAATACCTGCTAAAGAACAATTGATAAAATTGATAAATTATGTATTTTGATTTTGCCAGATTGTTTTCTTTATATATGTTTTGGCATTGAACATTAGGCAGCCATTCATTCCTGCATGTTTCCAATTAACCTGAACAGTTGCACACATTTAGCGTAGTATATATGTCTTCATGATTATTATAATGTATGAAATTTTTGTTTTTAAATTATAGTAATTGATTGTTATATAATTATATAAAAACTTAACCAAAAGCAGATTGCCTGCACCTTGTTATCAAGAATATCAGAGCTCATCCTTACTTAAAATTTTAAAGTTAATCAGATTTGTTTAACTGTATCAAGCCATTTTACAGATTAAAAATACAATATACTGCTAGTCAGACATATGTTGTTTTCATATGTGCTATTTTAGCAAATGTATCCATGTACTAAAATGATAAAATCTTTGGTATTTGTTAAGCAACATGATTTTCCAAGTAAGTGTCTTATTTAGGACATCCCTCATATTCTTTTTCTAGATTGTTGTGGATTTGAAGTAGCTATGACAATTGACCAGGCTTACCCTATGTGTCCACAGCCCAAAAAGCATCATTCCTAGTTACTCATACTCTTCCTTGTTCCTCCCAGCCACACAAGTCTTATATGAATATTGGTTTTAGTTCTTTGTGCTCCTTAACATATTTATCTTGTAGTTCAAGGCTACTTCTTATTCAAGTATGGGTTTAAGAGAGTTTTTTAAAAATTAATGTTAGCTTGATATTTGAAATGCTTTCATTTTAAAAGAAAACAATTTGACAGTGATAAAGATTTTTACAAGTATCTATTTTTATTCTGATTTCTCCAAAGAGTTATTTAATGAAAATGTACACTGTTTAGTAAATCTGATTTTTGTAATTTTAGATGCTGCTGTTAATTCTGGAGAACTGTGGTTTGTAAACTTTTACTCCCCAGGATGTTCACATTGCCATGATTTAGCTCCCACTGTACGTATTTTTTTTAACATCCTGGTTATTAAAGTTTTGTTTCTAACTGAGCTAAACTGTTATATGTTCATTTTTTCCTTTAAAAAAAATGTTGGCTGGGCTGGGAAGGTGGCTCAGTGGTAGAGTGCTTGCCTCGCATGCATGAGGCCTGGTGTTTGATTCCTCAGCATCACATAAGCAGAAAAGAAACAGAAGTGGTGCTGTGGCTCTAGTGGTAGAGTGCTATCCTTGAGCTGAAGAGCTGAGGGACAGCGCCTAGGCACAGAGTTCATGCCCCATGACAAAAAAAAAAAGTTGGCATTGTTTTAAAATTCTATCAAGTAATTATTCAGTGTTTTCACATATATATGTTTTCATTTGATAAAATTTTCTCCTTCCAGCATCTTTACAATAAAATAAAATTTAAAAAAATATATTAACTTAAAGTGTTTTCAAGGGAAGTAAAATGACCTCATCAGAGAAGTACTTGTTATCTTTTTTTCTTATAGTGGAGAGAATTTGCTAAAGAAGTGGATGGATTACTTCGAATTGGAGCTGTTAACTGTGGAGATGATAGAATGCTTTGCCGAATGAAAGGAGTCAGCAGTTATCCCAGCCTCTTCATTTTTAGGTCTGGAATGGTAAGAGATAAGTTAACATTTTGCACATTTGTGGAACTTTATGCAAACAAGTGAAATACTAGAGAAAACACAAATGTATGATTTTTAGGGTGTATTGAGTTTTAAATTTAATTTTAGGTAATAAAATCTAGTAATCATTTTGGATTATTTATGAATACTTTTAGATTATATATTATTCAGAATGCATATTTAGCTTTGTATTTTATATAAGTTTTGTATATGTTAACTCAGTGAATATAAAGCTCTACTAGCCTTTTTTTCCCCAATTTCCAATGAAGAAAATATAACTAAAATATTAAATAACAATATCTTCCATAGCATCTGTACTTTTCTGATTCTGTTTGGAAATTTAACATACTGTTGAGAGGCAGCTTTCTATATTTTTCAGGATAATGTAAAAACAACATATTTAGTATTGTTTAATGAGCTTTTAAATGAAAAATAAGAAGTGCTTTTTCTTAAAAAAAATCAATAGGCCGCAGAGAAATACCATGGAGACAGATCAAAGGAAAGTTTAATAAGCTTTGCAATGAAGCATGTTAGAAGCACAGTGACAGAACTATCAACAGGTAATTTTATTTTCTTAATTTGCTTTGACCTTCAGGAGTACTTTGGATCAGTATTTTGAATTTTACAATGGCAGCATTAAGAATTGGATCATAATATTGAAATTTGAATGTATGTTTTTCCTGCTACATTTTAGAAGAGAATTGTATCATAACCAGTTTCTTCTGTATTTGTATAGAGCCTAAAGCAATTAAGATGGTACAAATGGATATGAAATTGGACTAGGTAAAAATGCACCTAATGTTCGGGCCTTTTATTTATTGCTTTCATAACAAATACATGCTAAAGTTCAAACACATTTCTAAACTTAGTCTTTTAACTCATTCAGAGATTTTAGGCTGACTGTTTATTATCAACAATCTCTGAAGTATTTAATATTCCTGGCTAAAGGAATGCTTATATCATTCATTGAGCACTGTTTATGTATGAGAACTGTGTTAACTACTAGAACTGCAGGAGCAATAAGGTGTTCAGTCAGTCCTTGCTATCACCAATTCACTATATCAGTGAGGAAGATACCAGCAACCCATTAAAATGCAATGTAGTAGCTATTACCTTAAAGGTAAGCTTAGAGAAGCATAAAGGATAAGAAAGTATAATCCTACCCAAGTGAGGAAAAGGGAAAGTTAGACAAAACTTCTAGAAAAGGTCATACGTAATATCCCTTTCTAAAAGGAAGCCTTAGGGAGCACTATATATTTTAGAATTGCTTAACATGTCATGAAGAGATGACATAATGGGGTTGTATAGGGAGAAGTAAGACTAGATAAATAGGTAGACAAAAGTCAGATCACATGGAGCCATACCTTGCCAGTTTTAAATTTTCTTCATAATGAAATAGTAAATTTAGATTTTATGTGATAAAACAGAAAGCCAGTGAAGGAATTTAATGTGTTCAAGCAATTTATTTAAAAGGTAACTTATACATGGTAGATTTGATCACAAACAAGACCATACTAAAGATACAAGCACAAGTATGTTTATTGCAGCATTATTTACCATAGCTAAGATATGCAACCAACCCAGATGCCACTCAGTAGATGAATGGATCAAGAAAATGTGGTATAGCTACACAATGGAATTCTTTGCCTCCATCAGAAGGAATGACATGGCTCCATTTATTAGGAAATGGAAGACTTGGAAAAATTATATTAAGTGAAGTAAGCCAGGCCCAAAAAACATAGGTCCCATGGTTTCCCTTATTTGCAATATCTAGTATATGTCTGAGACAAGCAGAAAAGGTCAGATAAGATGATATTAGGTGAAATGAACCCCAAGATAAGGACACAAGTGTTTTTTTTTTCTTGTTATTGTTTCTAACATATTTATAAGGTACCACGTGATTTTTTTTGTTGCTTTGTATGTCCCTCCCCCAAGGTATAACCCCTGTTTTCACTTTATTTGATGTTGGTATAATTTGTGGAGAGGAAGGGAAAAAAACAAATTGTTTAAATAGTGATACAGGTTGAGCCATTACAACAATGAGATGTACAAGATGCTATGTCGAACTTTACAATTTAGGTGGGGGTGGGGAGGGGGGAACAAGGAGGGGTGTTGTGGAGATGGGAGGGTACGTGAAAAACAAAGGAGGCAAAAATGTTTGATAAGAAATGTACTCATTACCTTGCTCATGTAATTGTAAGCCCTCTGTAAAGTATTTTCACAATAAAAAAACTTACTAGAAAAGAAAAGGGTAAGATTAAAAAGAAAAAATAGTATTTGGAAAACTGCTTCCTATCATTGAATAATGATAATCATTCGGTTTCCTTTGTTTTAAGGAAATTTTGTTAACTCCATACAAACTGCTTTTGCTGCTGGTATTGGCTGGCTGATCACTTTTTGTTCCAAAGGAGGAGGTAAAGTTATCGTTCTTTTAGAATAAAAGAATATAACATTTTAATTTTAGATTCCAATTTTAAATGTACTATTATTATTAGAGGTTTTCAGTAAATCATTAATTGAAACTACTATTTATACTCAGATTTACATTTTTATGAGTCATTATATACCCTACTGTCATTTTATACTTTGGAGGTTATCAAAATTACTACTTTATAAATGTCATTTATTAATCATATGTTATATTTGGTTTATAAGTATTTGAGCTTCATTGTACTCATGATAATTTGTGCCTGAGTTAGCCACAGACATATGTGGCAACTTGCAGAAGTAATTAGTTAACAAATAGAGTCTTCCCCAAACAATACTTTTTGAATAGGCTTACACATATTAAAAATTAGCCTTCTAAAATTGTTTATGTGAAAATGAAAATTCTTGCTTCTAGGATCTTTCATAAACTAAGTTGAAAATTCAGTATTAAACTGTAAAATGAAAACTGTATTTAATCACATGAATTAAAATTTAGCCCAATATGAAAAATTACCCTAATTTCTTAATACTTTCTCCTGTAATCCCACAAATTTGACTTCTACTCTGCACTACTTTATTAAGACTGTGTTATCACTAGTTGTTAACTAGTCACACATCTCATCTTATAAAACCTTTGTTAATCTTTTGAGTAAAATCAGCCTTAACTGAATTCTTTCACCAAGGAGTTTTGTCTTATTCTGGCCTAATAACCAGATTTCAATCCACCCACACATGAGCAAAACTTTCTTTCATTCCATTGTGGGTTTTTTGGTTGGTTGGTTGGATTTTTTTTTTAATTATTTTTGTTCAGTTGTGAGGCTTGAACTCAAGGCCTGGGCTCCACTTCCGGTTTATTTCTGGTGGTTAATTGGAGATCAGAGTTCCATGCACTTTCCTGCCCAGGCTGTCTTTGAACCATGATCCTCAGATCTCAGCCTCATGAATAGCAAGTAATACAGATGTGAGTCACTGGCAATCCATCAAGATTTCTTTTCTTGTTGTTTTTTTTGGGGGGGGTCCGGTCGTGGGGCCTGAACTCTGGGCCTGGGCGCTGTCCCTCAGCTCTTCAGCTCATGGCTAGCACTCTACCACTTGAGCCACAGCACCACTTCTGACTTTTTTCTTTTTGCTTATGTGGCTGAGGAATCGAACCCAAGGCCTCAGGCATGCAAGGCAAACGCTCTACCACTGAGTCACCTTCCCAGCCCAAGATTTCTTCTCTTATAGCTAGAAATCATCCTACTGTGTGGCTTCTTTTCTGTGTAGCTAGAAATCTTGTGAAATTAAGGGACGACAATAAAAACAAAGAGAGAGATAATATGAAAATATAAATGAGACATTAGCCTCTGTATCTATCTACTAAAGGTTTCCATATTTACCAGTATATAACTCAGTTAATTGCCTTAAAATCCACATGGTAATTTGGGGGAAAGGCATGAGAATATAAGCTTAACAAATCTAAAATAGCCTCATAAAATTCTCTTTCTCCCTCAGATTGTTTGACTTCACAAACACGACTCAGGCTTAGTGGCATGTTGGTAAGCAACTATCATTTTTACAAAACTGTAGCATCATTTAAAGAAGCACATTTAGAAAATGGCTCCAGATTTTTTTAATGGTTCCTTAAACATTTAATTTACTCTGTCTTCTTATTTTCTGATACACATGTTTATAGCTATAAGTTTATTTCTAAATACCTTTGTTCAGTAAGTTCTGACATAATTCTTTCATTGTCTTTAATAAGTGTTCTACTGTTTATTATGAATTTGCTAGTATTTTTGACATTTCTAAACTTTATTTTTGTTCTGTTTTTGTATTTCTTATTTACTTTGTTCATATCATATTATAGTTAGTGAATATGGTCTATGTGATGTTGAGTCTTTGGTGTTATTGAAATTTCCCTTGTGTGATCCAAGTTTGTCATAAATTGGGAAAGTACTACATGAGCCTCAAAACTAGTAAGTTTCTGTGTAAAGTATAATTTTATCTCTATTAAGTTAGCAGTCTAAATCATTTATTTTTATTCTATTGATCTATAATTTCTAAGTCATATAAAAATCTCCAACTGCAATAGTTTCTTTTATTCCTATTACTTATTTGCATATATAATCACATATCACTTAAGAGGCAATCCGTTTTTTTATTAGCATCATAGAATATATAAAGACAAAATGGGTAGATATGATCTGCTCTACATCTACCTTACATGGCATAGTAACTCCTAGGGTACAGTGTATTACTATGCTGACAATTGTAGACAGTTGTAATACAGAGCTATCTGTGTACTAATCAGAGGAAAAAAATGTAGTGAATATAAATATAAAAATAAAAATGTACACCTATATAGAGCATTTGCTGTGAATAGAACTTATAGAACTAGAAGTCACTCTTGGTGTGTCAAAATGATAAGTGAATTTCAAAGTCTAGGATATTACTGAACACTACTGTAGACTTACAAATACAAGTAGGCTATACCAAGTTTATAAAAACAAAAGTTCTTTCTTCATTGATAAATTGACCTTAGTTTACTACAACTTGTAAATATGATTGTTAAAAACTAAATCACCGTCTTTTCTATTTGACATTTGTTTTCTGTTTCATTGATTTATACATTTTATTTCCTTCCTTCTGTTTTCTTTAGAGTTTTATTTGCTCTTTTAAGTTGACGTGGATGTTTAGGCCATTAATAGTTCCTTTTTAAGATAAGAATTTAGACTACCAGTTATTGATTACAATATAGCACATATTTTGATAGGTAGAATTTAAATTATCAATTTGGAATTTCTCTAATGATTCTTTTTTATTTTCTTTTTTTAATTAAATTATTTTATTTCTTACTGTATTACCAAACATAGAGGGTAACTAACATAACTAACATAAGTTAATGGCACAGGGGTTTTGTTGTAATAATTCCATAGATTACTACAATTCACTTTGAAGAAGTTTACCCCTAAAGTGAATTTTTCTAAAGATTTTGTTGTTTTGTTTTCTTTTATTAAATACTAACAATTATCTTAATTTTATCATTAAGAGAGTTTCCGTTTTAATAGTTTCAGGTTTTTAAGATTAGTGAGCCTTGCCTTATGGCCCACCATGGTATATTTTTTATAAATGTTAGTGTGTATTTTTAAATTTCTGTAGTTCATAGTTCTTTAAAACCAATGGGGCTAAGTGGGTTAACCGTTCTGTTCAAATCTAGATCTTAATGTTATTGTCTGCCTTTAATCAGTAACTTAGAGAAGTATCTTTTTCCCACTGTTATTGTGAATGTTTCTGCTCCTACCTTTAGTTCTGTCAACTTTTTCTCTATATATTTTGAGCCTTTGTCACTATATGGAGACTAGTTTAAAATTATCTTCTCAAGTCTTCCTTAATATGAATTATGACAACTCCAACTTTTCTTCAGTTAATGTTGGCATGATATAACTTTTTCTTCATTCTTTTTTCTTTTTTTAAGTAGGTACTAATTTTAAGTGTACATTGTAGACACACATAAAATATCTTAAAAACTAAATGATACATATTGAAAGTACAGTCATAGTAATAAATCATACACAAGTTGATTTTTTTAACCTAAGATTGTATAGTTTCAGTAGACTGATAGAAAAATGTTTTTAAATAGATGTGTATTATTAAGAGAATACTACATTTCAAATAATTATTGAGTATGTTTAAGGAGTTTGGGTTTTCAGCTGTGTTCAGCTGAATCTGTTTGACTTTTCCATTTACAACATGTTTTTGTTTCTATTTTAGGATGGTCTTGTTAATGTAGGATGGATGGACTGTGTAACCCAGGATAACCTTTGTAAAAGTTTAGATATTACAACAAGTACTACTGCATATTTTCCTCCTGGAGCCACTTTAAATAACAAAGAAAAAAATAGCGTTTTGGTATGAATAACTTTAAGGAAATTTCTTTACATTACAGATATGTACATGCTCATACTTTCAAAAGTAATATTTTGTATACAGTAGGAAAGGAATCCATTTATATCATTTGGTTACAAAACATTTCATAACTTATCACAAGTATATAATCTTAGATGTTTTTATATCATGAGTTTTCATTGGTTTCCAATAAATTGGTTATTTTCCAATATTAAAAAGATAATAAGGGGCTGGGAAGGTGACTCAGTGGTAGAGTGTTTGCTTTGCATGCATGAGGCCCTGAGTTCAATTCCTCAGCACCACATAAGCAAAAAAAGCTGAAGTAGCACTGTGGCTCAAGTGGTAGAGTGCTAGCCTTGAGCTGAAGAGCTGAGGGACAGCGCCCAGGTGCAAAGTTCAGGCCCCTGATCAACCAAAAAAAATCATAAAGATATTAAGTAGATTAGTAAGTACAGTAATAGGGTCTCAAGCATGTAAAATTTTTCAGCACTCTGTAAATTTCTGATATAAACTCAGTTTGGAAATATAAGATTCTCTTCTAGATCTATATTTAAAATAAACAAACTGAGATTAAAGGTAATTGGCAACATGCTGAGATGAATAATAATATGCTTGGACAGACCCTTTGGGAATCTCAAAAGAATGTCAGGGACTGGGGGAAAAACTCTTTGTTTCCTGTGCTTTAATTTTTTAGCTGTAATTCATGCTCATTTAAGAAATTCAGTGTACAGTATGGTAATATAGTAAAAAAATTTTCCTAAATCTAAATTACTATAAACAACCATTATTAAATAGTTATTAAATACTTTTTCAGAGACTAGTATATATGACTTTCAGTTTTAACTTCATATTACGTAGGTAGACACAGCTCACACCTATGTCCTCTACTCCAGAAGTATTACATATACCCAAATACATACACACACACTACTTTCTGTTCAACCTCTCTGGGATAGTAGTGTCTCAAATCTAAATGTCTATTAACTGTATTGCTAATGTTCCCACATAACTGCTTTGCCCAGTTTCGGTATCTCACTTGATCACAGTACTACCTTGTACTATCTTCTATTTCTCTCTGATTTGCTTATTAAATTTTAAGTTGTTCACTGATATATGCCAAATGCCTACAAGGATTCTGGTGTGGATGTATGTGTGTGTGTCTTAGCAACTGTGAATATACTCTACATATACATATATTTGTACTACATATACACACCTGTACACATTAAATAGATGGATATATGCAGGATGTTATAGTAGATTCTATTTTATGATCTTTTCAACAAATAAATTTGTCTATTTTTTTCTACCCAAGGGTGTATATATGATTGTTTTAGTAATTACTTCACTGAGTAAATATAACATGTCATTTCTGGGTGCTGTGTCTGAAGTCTACAATCCTAGCTACGTAGGAAGCAGAAGTGAACCTAGTGTATTTTCATAATGACTTAGAGGTCACTCTGAATTAAGAGAATTACAACAACAGAAAAATCCAGTTAAGAGAATAGTCTGCTTAATTGATTTTATATAATTATTTCTTTAAAAATCCAGCTACATAATATTTGAACTAATTGTAAAATGTTACTTTTAAAACAGAAAAGCATGTGTAATAGTTTTAAAAATTCTGCAATTGTTTTCTTAAAAGTTCCTCTTTAGAAACACAAGAAATGGTAAGAAATTAATATTTCCACAAAAAATTATAATATTCTTTTATTCTAGTTTCTTAATTCATTGGATGCTAAGGAAATATATATGGAAATAATACACAATCTTCCAGATTTTGAGCAACTCTCAGCAAACACACTAGAGGTAATGTTTTTATAATAGTAATAAGTCTAACATTTTAAACTGAACATTTGTTTTATTCATTACTAGAGAAATTGAATTGCTAGAGAGAATTCAATGGATTATATAGTAATAAAGTCTATGTTAAATTGCTGTTACTGAAATTCTGGCTAAATTTCAAATGATTCTGTGGTTTTGGAAAACCCAGAGTTTTATTTTACTGAAGGATCTTACTTTCCTTATGGATCCTAGACCATTCTAAGCTTGTGTCCCTACTAAATCCTTTGTTAAACTTGAAAAGATTACCTTTTCAAACTACCCCAAATTTATACCTATATATTATTAAAATACTTTTTTTCCTAGCAGTTATCTAACAATTTGTAGTTCTGTGGCATGCTCATCTATAATTGATTTATATGCCATTTCTCCTAATAAACAACAAGATAAGTGTAAAGATAAGTTTAAATTTTAGATAATATTTTGTAATAAAGAATAGGGTAGCTAAAACCAACTCCAAGTAAAAGAAAAAAGATTAGAACTCTTATAATTTGCTGACTTTCACATTGTTCTTTCTTTATTGCAAGAATCGTTTAGCACATCATCGCTGGCTCTTATTTTTTGATTTTGGAAAAAATGAAAATTCAAATGATCCCGAGTTGAAAAAACTGAAAACACTACTGAAAAATGATCACATTCAAGTAAGAAAAAAACATTTCATTTATTATATTTTAATTAACCTAACAGGGTTTATTGACGTCCTAAGTTAAATGTACTTTTGGTTTGGGGTTTGTGATTTCTTCCTTTGTCTTTCCTTTTTTGTATTAAAAGTTGACATCTTCTAGGCACTGGTGGCTCATGCTTGTAATCCTAGTTTCTCAGGAGGCTGAAGTCTAGCAATTAAGGTTCAAAACCAGCCTGGTCAGAGAAGACTTAGCAACTCTTATCTCCAACTAACCACAAAAAATAAAAGCCAGAAGTGGAACTGTCTGGTTCCAGTGTTAAAGTGCCACAGCCATGAGCAAAAAAGCTAAAGAATGTAACAGTGCTTTTGAATTCAGGCCCCAGTACCAGCATACACTCATACACATACAAAAACTTACCATATCTGAAAGTGGCAAGTTTTTATTTCTTTAGCACTAAGAAACTTAAACAATTTTTCTGGAATATAAACTCTAGTTGGGCGCCTGTGGCTCACACCTGTAATCCTAACTACTCAGGAGGCTGAGATCTGAGGATTGCAATTCAAAGCCAGCCCATGCAGGAAAAGCCTTGAAACTCTTAGTCTCCAGTGAACCACCAGAAAACCAGAAGTGACACAGTGGCTCAAGTGATAGAGGGCTAGCCTTGAGCTGAAGAGATCAGGGACAGCACCCAGGCCCAGAGTTCAAGTCTCATGTCCAACCAAAAAATATCTAGAAGATTATCCTCCTCTCCTAAAGTAGTAGTTTTGTTTAACCCATTATATCCAAAAGGTCACTTCAATATGGTTTCATGTTTCTAACTTGATATATAATGTTGGTAAATACATGATACAATAGTTCCATGCACACACACACATATATAATATATATGTGTATGTATATATGAATTAGAGCAATTAGCATTTCTGCTATCTCAAGTATTTACCATTTCTCTGTGTTGAAACCCCTGCCTCTTCTGCTACTATTCATTTTGAAATATATCAGTTGCTATAGACACATAGTATATTGCTGTACTAAATAATATATTACTGTACTATATAATACAGTTGCCTGCTGCTCCTTTCTCCTTGGAGTGTCTAGTGACCACTATCCCACCCTCTTCTGTGAAACCAACTATTTTAGCTTCCACAAATGAGTGGAAACATTCACTCTTTGTCTTTCTGTGCCTGTTTTATTTTACTTAACCTGATGTCTTCTAGTTCTTTCCATGTTACTACAAGTGAAAGGATTGTGTTTGTATACTACATCTAATTTACCATTCATTTGTTAATGAATGCTAGATTACATTCCCTACTTTTAGCTATATTTTAGTGAATAGTGTTGCGATAAACTTGGGAGTTGCAAATGTCTGTGTGATACAATGACTTGGTTCCTTTGGATATATACCTAGGACGTAGGGTAGTTCGCTTTTTATCTAGTCTTTTTTTCAGTGTCCGTGTATTTTGTATATTTTCCATTTTTCTTATCTATTTTTTATTTGTTTGTGGTCTGAAAATATCATATGATTTTACTTTTTTAATTTTTTGAGTTATTTTGCAGCTTACATATTATATAGATTTATATATATATATATATGTATATATAGTTGCTTAATATATTTGGGTGGTCTATTATTGGGTACATATCTATTTACAATTATGTCCTTTTGCTAAACTGATCTTTTCATTAATATAATGATCTTTCTTTTTATTTGTTTACTTGTTTTATTTTTCTTAGCTGTAATTGTGGTTTGAACTTAAGACCTCGCTTTAGTTTTTGACTTGGTCTGTTTTATGCAATATGTTGTTGCTTTTCTTCCATCTGTTTGTTTCCTTCTGTTTCTTTCTGCTTACATGGAATAACTTTTTCAAATTCTTAAATTTTAGTTTATGTGTGTCTTGAACAATGAAATAAAATTTTTATAAGCAATATTTAATTGGAACATATTTTTGAAAAAGAAATACACACATATATGTTTCTTGTAGAATTTTATCCATTTATATTAATAACTTCCAGATTATCATTCATTGGGGATTATAAATACTTAAAAAATTAGTACAATTTATATTTTTATTATATTTAATCTTCTGCTTTCTAGGTTGGAAGGTTTGACTGTTCCTCTACACCAGACATCTGCAGTAATCTCTATGTTTTTCAGCCATGTCTAGCAGTATTTAAAGGACAAGGAACCAAAGAATATGAAATTCATCATGGTGAGCATAGGAAAAATTATAAATTTCATCTTTCAAATATTAATTTTCTAATTATACTTTTCTGTACTTTCCGTGAACATGTTTATTGTAAATAACTTTTGCTCTCATTTTGGATTATATATAATCATTTAATTCTGTTTGTGCCCTTTATGTCCCTTAACAATATTGATCACTTTCAGCCATATCTGATGGGAAGTGTCAATAAAATGAGGGGTTTGCATGCTGGTACAGTAAGGAGCATATGAAGCCTCCATTCTTAGGTGCTACATAGCATCACAATAGGTAGATTTCTAGACATTGTTTTGAGCTTTTCTTCTATTAGACTTCAAGCTTCTCCATTAACTGCTTTGTTAACTTTTGCATTTATAATTATGACTACATTTCAGTTTATTTGAAGCTTTGGTTTTATTGAAGATTGGTTTTACATTCATGTAGAATCTCATTTCTGAGAGTTGGTAGACATTGGAGTCAGACGCATTGAATTCAAAATCTACCTTGCGATTTATGAACAAGACAAAGCGCTTGTCCTAAAAGAGAACAAATGTTACAAAGGAGACTCACATATTTCTAATTATATTGCAGTTAAGTGAATCAGATACTAATGAAATGCATGTTAGGCAAGAGGATTAGCTATAAAGTTTAAAATCCGAGCTCTGCTCTCAGGAATTTCAGAATACAATTTAGTAGGAACAGAAGGGAAATCTATTCAAAATCATGAAATAATAGTGGCCATTATGCATAAAATAATCAAATATATTTCTTCATAGCATAAGCCAGGGGGTAACAATTGAATTGAGTAAAAAATGTTGTTTTCCAAGTAAATACAAAGGTACAAGAAGTGAATCCCTGTAGGTTGAAGGGACTGTGTGAACAAAAGCTTTGCAAATAACAGTAACTGCTGTTGACTCAGCACTTTCTTCACATACTACATTTTGCTTAGGGTCTCGCCTGGATGATCCCTTTTCATATTCATAACAACCATTGGTGAAAAATAAGATTCAGTTTCTTTTTTTGGGGGGGGGTCCGGTCGTGGGGCCTGAACTCTGGGCCTGGGCGCTGTCCCTCAGCTCTTCAGCTCAAGGCTAGCGCTCTACCACTTGAGCCACAGCGCCACTTCCGGCTTTTTTCTTTTTGCGTATGGGATGCTGAGGAATCGAACCCAGGGCCTCATGCATGCAAGGCAAGCACACTACCACTGAGCCACCTTCCCAGCCCTGAAAAATAAGATTCAGAAATAGCCTCACAACACATAATGAAAGGTAGATTTTTTTTAATCTAAATTTGTGACTCCAAAACCTAAGTTTAGCTACTAGTCAGACCCTGAAATTACTAGAAATGACTACATTTTAGTAATAGAGTTTTATTAGTTTTTTTAACCTGTGAAGTATATCCACACTTGCATCTTTGTGTTGTTCATTTTGCTAGTTTCATCACCATTTTATTGTAATACATCTCTTATAGCGCTGCTCATCTCCACTCATTCCTCTTGGTTCTTGTTTCATTTACAGTTAGTGTCCAAAATACTTTTTTCATGTCACCTTTCTGACTTTGACTCTCTTGATTTCTTCTATAATAAAATTTAAATGAACTTCAGAATAACTAGAAGTTTAGTATTGGGAAAAGAGTTAAGTCATAAAAGCAACAAGAGTCCATATTATATATCTAATCTGCAGGTAAAGGAATTGGACTATCCTGAGGGTAAGCAGAAAGGTGACATGAGTGGGCTTACATTTTAGTAAAGTGACTAGCAGCCTAGAGAACATGAGAGAACGTTTGGAGTGAGTGAGATTAAGCAGAAAGAGGTCTATGTAATCACATATGTAAGAACATGACTGTCTTACAGCAATGATAATGAAGAAAATGATGAAGTAGATAGATAATTTAATTCCAAAGTACAATCTCAATTTAACTTGGTGATTGTTGGGGACAGGGGGATTGAGAGTCAAAGATAATACTCATGTTTCTGACTTAGCTCTGTCTTGTTTAATTGCTTTTGAATGATTCAGCCATTCAATGAGGAAGAGAATACCTGGTGAGGAATTGACAGTAGATATGTCCAGTTCACAGTTTAGTTTAGGCTTGAGTGCCAAAAAATTAATTTGTACTACACACTGTAGGCTTAAAATTGTTGATAGTAATTAATACAGTACTTACAATTAAGGATGAGCTTGTCTAAGAAAAAACAGAAAAAAATAATGAATTAGAAATCAGAGTGACCTGTAAGGGATGGTTAGAGATAGTGAAATTTTTTAAGCTGTTCAAGAAACTACAGCTAGGCAAGTACCAGTAGTCATGCCTGTGATCCTAGCTTCCCAGGAGGCTGAGATCTGAGAATGACAATTTGAAGCCAGACCAGGCAGGAAAGTCACTGAGACTCTTACTTCCAATTAACTACTAAAAAGCTAGAAGTGGAGCTACAGCTCAAGTTGTAGAATCCTAACCTTAAGGAAAAGAAAAGCTCAGAGACAGCACTCAGGCCCAGAATTTAAGCTCCAAGATCAGCAAAAAAGGAAAAAGAAAATAGAGAATGGAGAACTCTATAGCATTTATCACCCCATATTTAAACAGTTGTGGAAATATCTGTCTTTTGTTGCATTTTGAGTTCCTTAAGGAGAGTAAAAGTATCTTAACATTTCAAGTGGAGTTGACATATAACAAATTCTTAACTTAGTTTGGACAGCGGAGTGAATAAGTAAAGGGGTGCTAGGGAAAATAAACTCTTTTCTAACTGAGGAAAATCTGACTTGCCAAGCTAAGGAGTATATTCTTTAGGCAGTGGTAAATCATTAGAGGAATTTAAGCAAGGGGAGACAATATGATATTTTTTTTCTTTTAGGTTGACTATGGGAGTAGTGTAGATTACTGAGGAGGGCTGCAGGCAGAAATACCAGTGTGACTATTGCAGTTAGCCATATTGAATTCAAGTAGTAGCAGTGAAGTGGGAGATAGGGTAAAACATAGAACGGATAGAATTATGATACCAGCACAGAGAAAAAGCAAGGATCTCTCTGCAAGATATTCTTTAGTCATGTGCCTAATTGCCATGATCAAGACCAGAATGTGAGAAAAGGAGCAAATTTGGGGAGAAATTTTTCAATTTGGCTATATTATGTAAGTTAGGTCATAGTAATAACACAAAGAATTAAAAATACTATAAAGAAGTAATTATTTTTATCTCTGGCATTTCAGAGAGTTCTTTATATTTTAACTAGGTCAAGTGTGCATAGAAAGGGTAGTGGGGGGGGAGGGATGTTAGGGTAAAAACAAAGGAGGAGGCAAGAACGCTTGATAAGAAATGTACTCATTACCTTGCTCTTGTAACTATAACCCCTCTGTACAGTATTTTCACAATAAAAAACTTAATAAAAAGGGTACTTCCCATAGAGCAAAGCCATGCATAATATACAGAATTCTAATAATAAACATCACCAAATTGACCTGTTCATAAGATTTCCAGTTAATATTTTGAGAATAAAACTTTGTAATGTTTCTATGGTTGTAAAAGAATACAGATTAATTTTTATCTTAATTTCAAAGGAAAGAAGATTCTATATGATATACTTGCTTTTGCCAAAGAAAGTGTGAATTCTCATGTTACTACACTTGGACCTCAGAATTTTCCTGCTAGTGACAAAGAGCCATGGCTTGTTGATTTTTTTGCCCCTGTAAGTTACTTTTACCTGTCACATATGATTATTGTCATATTTTATCTTGTTCTGACTATAAGACGTTTTCTGGATGAATAGAACCTTAGGTACTAGAACTGTATGGTTCAGTTTGGCCACTGTTGGCATATGTTACTTCTAAATGAGTGCTAATGTAATTACCCTTCTAAGACTTAAGTACATAAACAGAAAATAGTCCACTATGTTTAGTTTATCTTAATAGGTATATTGCTTATTGCAACCATGATGGTATTTTGTTTGTTTCATTTGGCTTAGCACTTGTGAATACTTTTCTCTTGCCCAGTGGTGTCCACCATGTCGAGCTTTGCTACCAGAGTTACGAAAAGCATCAACACTTCTTTATGGTCAGCTTAAATTTGGTACACTTGACTGTACCATTCATGAAGGACTCTGTAACATGGTAAGACAAAAGTATAAGACATTTTTTCTTATTAATGTGTTTTGTGAAATACTTTGACAGTCTAATAAAAACATTAATTTTTCCAAGTTCACAGCTATCTAAAATAGTAACAAGTTAGTTAATTTAAGTAAAATTTTAAATTATGGTTGGATTATGTCATATGTAGTCAAGGACTTACAAACTCAGGATAATACTTTACTTGATAAAATGTTGCCACAATTTCTCATTTATTTATTTAACTTAATTTTTCCTTGCTTTTTTTTCTTAATTTAGTTAGCAAAAGTAAATAAAAACAGTGAACAAACTTTTTGAAATCTTTACTTACATAAAGATATTAGATAAATTAATATTTACTTCCCAGTTCTCAGTTCAAGGAAGAAACTATCTCATACCTCCTGATCAAAATACAGAGTGCCATCTGTAAAATAATCTCAGCAGAAAAACAAAATAATCCTCAAGCTGACCAAACATTCAGATTTATCACTGTATAGGACATACTAAGTGGATACAAGTTAAATAACACTGTGGGCATTCAATGTACAATTCTCAGCATGTGGAGAACCTTATATAAGATACACAGATTGCTCATCAGATATATTGAAGGCATTGGAGATGGAAAAATGGAAGAAAAAAGGATATTTAAATCTGATGGCAGTGTTTAAGTCTTGCTTGAATTAAATGAACTGCAGTGAAAGAAGTCATTGGGAAAATTTGATAGCTGAGAAGATGATGATTTAAATTACCATTTTTAGATGTGAAAGTGGTAATAGGTTATATTGGTGGGAAAATTCAGACAGTTTAAACACTGAAGTATTTCTAGATGAAATGATGAAAGTTCATCTGGAATGTGCTTTAAAATAATCTTGGTATAGCAGTAGACTACAGTGAAGGGATTAGATAAAATAAGAGTTGCTATAAGTGATTATCATAGCTTCATGAAACATAAAAGCCTATTTCCTATCTGTTTTGGGAAATGTAACTCAAAAACTAAAATGTTGGGAAAGGAAAGATTGGAGAAGAGAGAAATGGAAACAAAAGAAAGGCTGTTTTTAATTTATTTAATTTTTTGGGGGGGTGTCCAGTCATGGGACCTGAACTCTGGGCCTGGGCGCTGTCTCTCAGCTCTTCAGCTCAAGGCTAGTGCTCTACCACTTGAGCCACAACACCACTTCCGGCTTTTTTCTTTTTGCTTATGTTGGTGCTGAGGAATCGAACCCAGGGCCTCATGCACGCAGGGCAAGCACTCTACCACTGAGTCACCTTTTCAGCCCAAAAGGCTGTTTTTAATCATAGTAGAAGGAGACAGCCATTGGTATCTGTGTAAAGAATAATTTCTTATTTCACACTCATAAAAATATGAAGTGTAAGGATAAAATTGTCAGGGTAAAATGAGTATGACTACATTAAATGTTCAAACTACCACCAAAGGGACACTATAATACTAAGTCAACCCTGAAAAAAAAAGACTGAAAAAGTGAGGCATTATGGATACTTGTATAATTGAAAAATCTAATAAATAAGAGAAAATGTTGGACTTTACTAGTCATAAGACAACACCATTTACAACAAAAGTCAGATACCCTCACTACCAATCAAATAGACAAAAATCTGACAGTAGCAAGTACCTGAACAAATAGTTACGGAGTGCCAAGCTGCAAATATAGTTCAGTGGTAGAGCACTTGCCTACATGCTCAGTTCAGTCCCCAGCACTGAAACAAATTTTTATCAACATGACATAATAAAATGAGAAAAGCAGATAACAGCATGCCATAAAGTTAAATAAAATTATAGAAAGTTTTTAAATGTTTAAAACATTGTAATATATTGCTTAAGGTGTACATGTAACAAAAGCACAAAAACATTAGTGAGCTAGCTATACACTAATTTTAGGATTAGTATATCCTTGTGTGAGGAAAGGAAGGGATCAAGGAAGAGAATGTCAGTAGTTGGTCAGGTTAATCTTAATAATTACAGGGGTAGATTTGAAGGTATTTGTTAGATTATTCTTTTATTTTCAGTATGTTTGAGATTTTGTTGTTTTTTTTTAATAAAATAAATATGGCCTTTGTTTTTAATGTCCTATATGTTGTGTCCTGGATGTGTGGTGATGCATGCTTGTCATCTCAACTACTTAAGAGACCATAAGTACCAGGATACTGGTCCCTGACGGCCCTGGACAAAAAAGCAAGACCCTATCTAAAAAAATACTACTTATCTAACACAAAAAGGTCTAAAAGTATGGCTCAAGTGGTAGAACCTTGCCTACCAAGAGGACCAAATTCAAATCCCGATCCTACAAATATAATAATTTTTATCATCTAATTTGAACTCCTCCTGTTTTTCTACTTTGTAATCTTAAGCCGTTAAATAGTGTATGATTGACTAAATTTTAAGGGTTTATAATATGGTATCAGATTAACTTGAAATAGAGTCCAGAATTCACTATTCACCGTCTAATTAGTTCACCTTAACCAGGCTACCTAGCTTCATCTATAGGAAGCTGTGTAATTCTGACTTCTGAATAGCATTGTGAAGAATAAATGAGATAAATTTACAAAACTCTGAACTCTCCAGCTACCTACCACCCATGATGCTCCTAAAAGTCCCTCTACCCTTGCCCCCGACTATGCCTCATGTCACTTGAGTCTCTAAGGTCACCATGGTATTCCTCTTCAGCTTTCATTAAGGTTTGATCTAGTCTTTTGAATTGGAAAGGACTTAGTAAATTTTAGCTTTATTTTGTTATTATTTAAATTTGCATACAGTTTTTTCAAATAATGTAGTTTTTCTAAAACTATTTGTGAATCTTACTCATTTTGCTAGTAAGGGCTATGGAAAATTCATACACAGGGATATTTGTGTAACTTTAAAAAGTGAAAATGGCAATATTGAGAGATGCTTCTTGGGCTTGTACCTCTATTCATTCTGAGAAGAAAATTAAGCATTTTGCATCAGAAAGACTATTTTGAATAAAGAATAAAAATGGCTGTATTTTTTGAAGCTGACTCAAAATTTTTTAACCTTATCTCTATTATTGTAGACACTAATTATGCATTTTTTTACTTGGTCATCTACTTCTATAAAATAGAATACTTATTATTCCAAAACATATCTGGAGATAATAGATAACAACTACTCTTATAAGCTTCTTCCCATCTTGTTTTGGGAACGTAAAAAGAAGCCAAGTACATAATAACGCTTGCCCACTACAGTTTTTGTGGCTAATTAGAATAATAAGTTAGGATCAGAGATTTATTATAGAAACTTAGATCCATTTCCTTTACTAAGTTAGGGTAAGCTAAATTTAATAACCAGAAATTTAGTTATTAGTTAAAGGCAAGCTGGTTATAAAGTTGAAACAAATGGTAAAATGTGTAACCTTCTCACTTAGTTCATATTGTCCTTCCTCACAGTATAACATCCAAGCTTATCCAACAACAGTGGTATTCAACCAGTCCAGTATTCATGAGTATGAAGGACATCACTCTGCTGAACAAATATTGGAATTCATAGAGGTATGTTAAATTCCAACCCAGGGCTAGAAATACTACTATTCATAGGTATACTCTGAATGCTTAATAAAGAGAATTAATTTGTTTCGTGCCAAAACATTATAGTCTGACAAGACATTATTTTAATTTTGTTTTATTACTTGTTTTTATTATTTATAGATTTATATTTATATATAATATGTTGTTTTATTATTTAGAATTTGTTTTATAATTTGTTTTATTACTTATATACAGTGTCTTATATCAGATCCAACTATTTATTGAATATATAAGATTGTACTGTAGCTTTGAGCCCATATTTTCTGTGAAAGCAGAAATGCTGTGCATGAAGTATGGGTGCCTATGCCATGCTGCTACATTATCAACATGAAAGCCCCTGCATCTGTAACACCACCTTTGCTCTCAGCAGTTATTCTTACCATAACAATTATAGGGGATCCTAAAATGGAACAATTCTAGTTTATAAAAATTGCCTATTTAATAACATTCTGCTTTGCTCATCTCTTCCTTCAGGATAATGTGTTATGTTATTTTGTTTTGGATGAAGATAGCATCTCTGATTAATTTAAGCTGAGACCTAGTTAAAACAGCATTTGGAGCCAGGTGCAGTTGGCTAGGGCCTATAATCCTAACTTCTCAGGACACTGAGGTTTGAGGATCATAGTTTGAAACTAGCCAGTGCAAGAAAGTCTATGAGAATCTTACCTCCAATTAACCTTCAAATAGCCTGAAGTGGAGCTGTGACTCAAGTGGTAGAGCACTAGCCTTGAGTTCAAAAGCTCAGGGACAGTGTCCAGGCTCTGAGCTCAAGCTCCAGGACTGGCACATGTATGCATACACACACACACAAACGCACACAAATTAAAAAACAGCATTTGGGTTATGTGATCTCTAGAAGGAAATCATGCAGTATTCCAGTAAATAGTTGACATAAAAGTTATTTCCAAACCAATCATTCTTGGTTCTAGAACAGATGTATATAGTCTGTTGCTATCAGGGCAGCTTTTGTAACATTATTATCCATTCCCAGTCTACAGTGGTTTTAGATATAGATGGGGGGGGGGGGGAATACCTTGATCTAAGAAAACTAATGGACAAATGCCAAATTTAAAATAAATTTATTAACATTTTGATTTCTAGGGCAATGTACTGTAGATTTCCTTTATACATTCTTAAACATCTTTAAAGTTTCTCTGAAACAAGAACCTTTTAAATGACATATGCCAGTCAGGTGTCGGTGACGCATGCTTGTAATCCTTGCTACTCAGGAGGCTGAGATCAGAGGATCATGGTTCAACGCCAGCCCAGGCAGGAAAGTCCAAGAAATTCTTTATCTCCAATAAACTACCAGAAAACTGGAAGTGGCGCTGTGGCTTAAGTGGTAGAGCACTTGCCTTGAGCTGAAGAGCTGAGGGACAGTGCCCTGGCCCAGAGTTCAAGCCCCACAACTGACAAAAAAAAATTACATATACCAATAATTTGCCAAGAATACATGAGTAACTATTCTAATAATCTGTGTTTTCTTTAGGATCTTAGAAACCCTTCAGTGATCTCTCTAACACCCACTACTTTCAATGAACTAGTTAAACACAGAAAGCATGATGAAGTCTGGATGGTTGATTTCTATTCTCCATGGTGTCATCCCTGTCAAGTCTTAATGCCAGAGTGGAAAAGAATGGCCCGGGTATACTAAAATCATTTATTTTAACTATTGCTACTTAGAATGTTATTTTGAAACTGAGATCAGTGACTCTGTAAGTAATAGCCCTGATCAGACCATTAAGATCCCATCTCTTGTTTATTATATGGACTGTTATGTTGTTATTTGGTGACAATCACTGATAAATAATATATCAGCCATTTCACTGTGACTATTTAACATATATATGTATATGTGTGTATGTATAATGCTATATGGATAATTTTAGTTACTGATACATATTTACCACCTTTTTTCTTCCATAGACATTAACTGGACTGATCAATGTGGGCAGTATGGACTGCCAACAGTATCAATCTTTTTGTGCCCAAGAAAATGTTCAAAGATACCCTGAGATAAGATTTTTTCCCCAAAAATCAAATAAAGCTTATCAGTATCAGTAAGTATTTTTTAAATTTTCAAATTTAAAGACATGTATAACCAATTACAGTTAAGATTTAAGTTAGTATAATAAATACATGTGAGAAGATATTATATTAAGAAAGTATGTTAATGTGCGCTTCTGAAGATTAAGAAAATATTAAACAGGACTGTTCATGAACTTTAAATATACAAGTCAAGAAAATGAGGAATGGAAGGGCTAACATTATTTCCATGAGTAACATCATTTCGTCCTGACTCTCATATATACCTTGTGAAAGGAATTAACTATTCTTCCTGTTGTTTCTGAAAAGCTGTGATTCTCAGCATTTAGAAAACTTTCCAAGCTACATACCTGCCATGGTTTGAAACTGGGGTTTGAACCCAGGATTGTTCTTGTAGTCACACACCACAAAGTATTTTAGGTCAGACATTCAAATGTAAGGTGTAATATGATGAATGTGCCGAAATAAGGATACAGGTTGGCCCATTGTAACAATGAGATATACAAGACACTATGCTGAAAATGAACTTTACAACTTCGGGGGTGGGGGTAGGGAAGAAATGGGGAGGAAAAACAAAGGAGGAGGTAACAATGCTCCATAGGAAATGTACTCATTATCTTAGTCATGTAACTGTAACTCCTCTGTACAGTATTTTTGCAATAAAAAGTATATTAAAAAAATAAGAGACTCAAAAAAATAATATGGTGAATGTCACTTAAAGAAGTAAAACTGAACAATCGTTTCGAAAGAAGAAAGGATCACAGTTGTGGGAGGAAGTCAAGAGAAGGGACTATGGAGAAAACTTTCCAGCAAGAAGTTTTAAAGATGAAAGTTTAACACTGAAGATTCAGATACTAAAGTTCTAGACATTTTGAATTTTTTGTATTTCTATAGGTCTATAGATGTCCAAAAGATAGGTAAATATTCTATTCTGGATTATCTTGACAAAAAGATAACAAAGCTAGGGCTAGTGGGAGATAACTCAGTTGTAGAACGCATGCTTATCATGCTTAGCTTACCTACCCACAATTGTGGGTTCAGTCCCAGCACCTCCTTAAAAAAATAAAAGACTCCAAAGAGAAAAATTTGGGAGAGTCATATAAGTTAAAGAACTAAATTTATTTTTTTAATTACTACTATTGTTTTTTTTTTCTTCAGTAGTTACAGTGGTTGGAATAGAGATGCATACTCCCTAAGAATCTGGGGTCTGGGGTAAGTAAAATATATACACTCTATGAAATAGATTTGAAGCTATTTAATTTTTTTGTCTATAAATTTTCTGTGAGTTAAGCTACTAACATTTTCAATTATTTAGTGAAGAGTATTTGTAAAGATAGAGCTGAAGCCGGGTACCGGTGTTTCACACCTGTAATCCTAGCTACTGAGGAGTCTGAGATCTGTGGCTCACAGTTCAAAGCCAGCCTAGACAGGAAAGTCTGTGAGACTCTTATCTCCAATAAACCACCAGAAAACTGGAATTGGTGTTGTGGCTCAAGTGGTAGAGCTCTCGCTTTGAGCTGATGAGCTGAGGGGAAGCGCCCAGGCCCAGAATTCAAACCCCATGAGGGACAAAAAATAAAAATAAATAAGTAAATAAAAAGAGCTGAGCTTCAGAATTATTACATTGCTATTCTTTTTTTCATTTTTTTTTTGTCGGTCCTGGGGCTTGAGCTCTGGGCCTGAACACTGCCCCTCGGCTCTTCAGCTCAAGGCAGGCACTCTACCACTTGAGCCACTGTACCACTTCCTGTTTTCTGAGTAGTTTATTGGAGCTAAGAGTCTCATAGACTTTCCTGCCCTAGCTGGTTTTGAACCAGTCCTCAGATGTCAGCCCTCCTGAGTAGCTAGGATTACAGGCATGAGCCTCAGGGGTTCGGCTTACATTGCTATTCTTTGAAATAATTTTTAACTTGGAAAATATCGCAATATTATTACTTTTTGCCTTTGTTTTAATTTTACTTTATTCCTTTGCCACAGATTTTTACCTCAAGTGTCCATAGATTTAACACCCCAGACTTTTACTGAAAAAGTTTTACATGGGAAGAATCATTGGGTGATTGATTTCTATGCTCCTTGGTGTGGACCTTGCCAAAATTTTGCTCCAGAATTTGAGCTCTTAGCTAGGGTAAGTTGTATTCCCACTTAAATGAGGTGTAAATGAGGTGTTTTTATGATTTGGATAAAACATTTTAAGAATAATTCTCAATTATGCAAATTTTTCTGATAATTTTTTTAAAGCCGTATTTCTTTTCCTTTTTTTTTTTT